AGAGCTTAGATCTTTGCAGTTATGGAAGGAGTACAGAAAGCTAAGGAGTTGAACATCAGGAAATTCTTAATTGAAGGGGATTCAGAGGTGGTGATAGGGTGGCTAATTAAAGATCACAATGGCTTATGGAAGTACAATAATGAGAGGAGGAAATTCAAGTGGCTGGTGCGGGAGATGGAAGTTAAGATTCTTTGGGTTAAAAGATCAGCTAATTTCCTAGCTTACGGTTTAGCTAAACAAGGGCAGAAAGGGATTCATTTTTTTGGGCTAAGCCGTAACTATAGCGTGTTTTCCTTCTTTTTTTCTTTTCTTGAGGTTCTTTGTTGCTCTTGGAAGATAAGCGTGTTTATCTTCCTATTGTAAATCTTCTTTTGATGAGTTAATGAAAGTGTTGTTGATCAAAAAAAAAGCACCCATCTCTGCTCCATTTCCAGACCCATGCCCCTTTTGGCCCACCCCTATATCTTCTATACCCCCCAATGTGCAACAAATCACTTCTCATTGGTACTGTAGATGGTCTTCTCTACATGTGATCAAACCATCTTTGGGGCCATTTTATAACAGTTGAAGTGGTTGAACTGAATGACTTATTGCTTTGTCTTTTAGTCCATAAGTTATTTGTCTTATCACTTATTATCTCCTCCTTCCCATCATGCATTTCTTGCTTTCATTTCTTCAATTTCCATTCCCAGGACTGCCCAAGAAGCTCTTTCTGTACCTGGGCAAAAGGATGCCATGCAAGTAGAGATGTATGTTCTTTTACAGAATCAAACCTAGGAGCTATTGATCTACCAGGAGGCAAGTAACAAGTGGGATGTAGATGGGCTTTTATAGTAAAGCATCCATGATACCTAGATACTTCTACATGCCTAGCATACGTACCAAATACCGCATGGATACTTCTACATGTACTTTATATGGCATTAACATATGCAAAGTGGTATTAGGCTGACAAAGGACTGATACAAGAAGCGCATAGAAATTCTCTGTTTTTTTTTATAATTGAAAGAAATTTATTAATCAACAATTGAAAGTAATACAATGTCCCCAAGGAGAGGCACGAGCTGCAACCTCTCCAGGCTAGTTAAGTATAGATTTCCAAAATAATAACAACTTACAAAGTAGCACAAAGAAGATCTTCCTTGGAAACCCCCTGTTTGGCTAAAGAATCAGCCATAGTATTAGCAGACCTACAAACCCACCCATTTTACCTCAACTCTCATACTGCTAATTAACCACTTTACTTTTTTTATGAGATCTTTGTAGCCCCAAATGGTAGTATCCGGGTTTTGAAGCCACCTTGTTACCACCTATGAGTCCCCTTCAACTAGGAGATGCTCCACCCCAATCAGGTTAGCGATCTGAATTCCTTGTACTGCAGCTAGTATTTCTGCCCTTGTAGAGTCCCCCACTCCCACCGGTCCTGAGAATAAGGAAATTATGTTGCTATCCTTATTCCTCGGGGCACCCCCTATACCTGAAGGCCCAGGGTTACCTTGGCTGCTTCCATCAAAATTCAACTTGATGACACCTTCTAGAGGCGGAACCCATTATGACAAACTTCTATTCTTCTTTGTTGAAGTATTAGCTATTACTAACCAATTCCTCCACAAGTCATCAAAGGAGGAATCATCAAATATATCCAAGGTTTTCAGCCAATGAAATGCTCTTGTTAGGATGCAGTCCTTCACTTCAACTAATCTTCTTTCCTTCTCTAAGAAGACTCTTGCATTCATTTCCTCCCAGAGAGTCCATAAGGTGGCTGCCCTGACACATTTCCACATGAACTTGCCTCTTCTAGTGTGCCATACAAAAAAAGAAGGGTTAAATAACGAACTCAAATCAGATGGCAGAGACCACCTACCTCCAAATAAACAAAGGCTCCAACTTCATAAAGCTGTAACGAAGGAACAAGAGATCAGCAAATGGAAACAGTCCTCATTATGGGCCTTACACAAGGAACACCAATTCGGGGAGAGACAAAGAGAGGGTCTCTTTTTCTGCAAGTTTTCCAAGGTATTGATTTTCCCATAGTAGACTTCCCAACAGAATACAGCAATTTTTGGGGGAATAGGTTGCGCCCAGACTTCTTTGAAGGGGAACCCTTGGGAAATGGGGTTAGAACTGAGGGATTTTAGAAAAGAAGAACAAGTAAATGTGCCTTTCGGAATAGGAGTCCAAACTCTTTGATCAGAATATGTGAAGTCCAAACAAACAGACTCTAGTAAATGAATTAGTTCAATAACACAACTCGATTCACCGTCCCTTAACCCTCTACAAAAACCGAAATCCCAGTTTAAAAACAAGGGAATTAACGGGTTTGGGAGAAAATTTGCAATTGGCTCATTTTTATGAAGGGAGAGGGAATAGAGCGAGGGGAATCGATCTTTGAGGGGTTGAGTACCCACCAAAACATCCTCCCAGAACCGAATAGTATAACCAAAACAAGCATCATACCTAATAAAACTGAGGAAGCGAGGGAGAATACCATGTATAGCCTTCCAAGGTGTTGTAAGGGTAGAAATTCTATGTTCTATCCCTTTTCGTTTGTATCAGGCTTATACAGGCCTATATTGGGTTGTTTCGGGCCTGTATCAACCAATTCTCTAAGATCGGTTGATACACTTAAATATAACCCCTGTATTTAAGTCTTTTCAAATTTGAATTTGAACCATTGCTAATCTTTCTCATCAATCTCTCTCTCTCTCTCAGTTATCTTTGTCATTAATTACTCCCTCTCTCATTAATCTTTCTATTAATTACTTCCACATTTAAGGCAAGTTTTCAAATTTGAATTTGGCATGCCATAATTTTGGTAAAAAGCTAGAAGTAGGTAATAGAAAGGTTTGAACCCCAGTCATTAGTTTGTAATGACCATAAGTCAACTACTATGTCCTACTCTATTTGCTTGTTATAATTTTATGCAGTTCATTTCTTAAGGAAACTTCCTCTCCTTAGTGGATGTTTGTCAATAAATTCTAAAATTGATTATTAAAACTTATATATTAATAAATATTAATACAGTTATATTGGTATTCTGAAAATTAAGGTATGGAGTATGGACATACACATTTTAGTTCTACTATTTTTCCAATGGCTACCAATTGTGTCCCAATATCTCACACTTTATATAAACCATTAAAATATGATTTTTTATGTTTAGATAACTTATTTATAGTCATATTTAGCTTTTATTTATTGTCATTAATATATTTTTAGGATTTATTTGAGTTTTCCTAGCATATCCATGTGTATCTTGATTTGTAGTCCACATCCATAAGTATCCAAAGCATATCCCGATATGTCTCTTAAAATTGCCTTTCTGATACTTTGAACCTTGACTATACCATAAAAATATATGCACATATGACATATTAGAATTTTAATTAAATTTGGCAAGACATTAGTCTTCAGAAATGACATTTTCTAGGGTGCCTTGTCCAGACTATAATGGTTGGCTAGAAGAATCCTGCTGTCATTTTTATACCAACCTCATTCCTCTAGACTCCTCCCATTCCCAGAAGGGCCTGGGTTATCTTGACTGCTTCCATCAAAATTCAGCTTCAAGAAACCTTCAGGAGGGGGTGCCCTGCTTGTGCTTACTCTTACCTTGAAAGAGAAACAACTTGCCACTGCTAGAATCCTGTTCTGCCATCCCATTCCATTCAATGCCATAACCATTGTAAATTATGGGACCTTCAATAAAGACAGCTAATGTGCCAAAATTTGCTGTAAGGATGAAGCATCACTGGACTCTAGATGAACTAGGAGTCAATGAAAAACAAACCTATCACACTTCCAGAAGCATTTTGTATTTCCCAACCCAAAATACAATCCTCAACTTGCCACTGCTAGAATTCTGTTCTGTCATTCCACTCCATTCAATGCCATATCCATTGTAAATTATGGGGCCTTCACTAAAGACAGTTAATGTGCCAAAATATGCAGCAAGGATGAAGCGTTACTGGACTCTAGATGAACTAGGAGTCAATAAAAACAAACCTATCACACTTCCAGAAGCATTTTGTATTTCCCAACCCAAAATACAATCCCCTTGAAGTCACAACCCTCAAGATCCCATGAACTTAGTAAGCCTAGAAAAAAGGTAATACTATTCCTCAAGAAATCCTTAAAAACAGCCCATAACTATAAAAGCTATTTCTTGTATTCATTGCTTGACATGTTAATGAGAAAACATGGAATTCATATATTAAAAATAGCCAACTCCACAGTGAACTTAAACAACCATTGCATTTATTCACATGAAGTGACAAAAAGCTAGGCAATGAATTAGATGAAACTTACCAACCTCTCCCTTTGTAATGCAGTCACAATTCGAACAGGAAGAGATACAAAGGCAACTGTCCAAATCATAAACCTCCAGAATAGGTCCACATGGAAATTGACAGCAGTCTTCACCAGCTGTATCCAAGTCAGATTAACAAGACAAACAGTTCTCACACCAGACAAGCATACAAGCTTCAACAATGAAAACAACTTCATAACCATGACAATAATATTTTTTATTAATTCAATAAAGAGCCCCATCGGATCCACTGTTATCTGTCAATACTGGTGCTTTTGTTCTCCACTCAACTCCAAGTTCCCATGAACTACATAACTAACATTTGCACAACCATCAAGTCCAGAACATTAAAGTTCCATATTTTCTGCAAACATAAAAGTTGACAGTAAGAACTGGAAGAAAATATAGTAGACAACTAAGCAGATCTACTAATATAATAACAAATCCTGCAAACGTTTCATTTTCCAAGGGAAGATGGTTAATGCATTAAACTTGGGTTCTATCACAATTATAGATAAGTCAATTCATTTCATGTAAATGTACACGCTCCCATGCTTCTGAACATCATTAGGATAGCCACAAGCATGTTTTGAAAAATTCACATATTTCATAATATTTCCACAAATATTTCCATTTCCACTAGTACTAACTTGTTTTAATATGATTCTTTGCTATTAAATCCTTTTCTTAGCTTATCATCATAGAGAACTCTTTTCTTATTTTCCGAAGTAGATACTTTTAATAATACATAACATAATTTAATATAAATTTGGCCAATATTTTAATGTTTTAAATTATTATAATAAAGATATATTTGCTGAACACAAAATGGTGCCAGATGGAGAGGTATAATAGAAACTAGTAACAACCAGTAAGGATGAGAACACAAAAGAGGGAATAATGGAGTGGAATAGCAATATCAAGGACAACTCTGCTGCCCTTGTTAAAGAGACCTATCAGGAAGACAAGATTTAAGCTTCACCTATTATGCAAATATCTGGAAATATTAGAAAAGATAGTGCAGAAAAGACCTTTGAGAAGCAGATTGCATGGGAAGATGGCACAGTTGAAGACACCTCCAACATTTCTACTGAAAAAGAAGCATTCAAAAACAGATATAAAGAAGACAAAAGAGAGGCAAAAAGGCATAGTGCACACATTAAAGAATTAAAGAGAACAAGTTAAAGTTTATGCAATAAAACACTGAAACAACAAGGTGCAAGGAGGATACAGAAGATTAAAAAAAATTAAAAAAAAAGGAGACAGAAGAAGCAATGGCACAAGAAGAAATTATTCCAATAACAAGAAGTTGAACCAGAAGACAATAAGCTTGAAGTTACTTGCAATGTTGCTTCTGGAGAAAATATTCCAAAAACAAATGAGATGAATTCAAGTAGCTAAGGAATTCCAAAGACAAATATGTCAAAGTTAAAGATAGCTCCAACTTAAATGAGATTGTGGCAGTCAAGAAGTAGAGCAACTAGAAGAAGGTGAGGATGAACAAAATATAATTATATAACAAAGTGTAAAAAGCCAGTAGGAGCAACTAATATAGCATCAAGATTGGATGATAAGAGCAATGAAAAGATAAGTCAAATAGATATTACTTCAGGAGCTCAGACCAATTGAAAGAAACAAGGGAACAAAAGATGAGGCTCCAGAAGTAAATAAAGACCAACATAGGATCCTGGAAACACTTGACAATGCTAATACGAGAGAACCCAAGATGTCTGAAGGCATCATTCAAATACAATTAGGCTAAGTTTGGAAGTGCTTATTTGAAAAATAAGTGCTTATTCTAATAAACACTTGTGAGCATTTCGTGAAAAGGCACTTATTTCAAACAGGGATAGTATAGGTTAAAAATGGCATGGTGGGCCAAGACAGGATAGAAAGGAAATAAGCACTTAAAAATAAGCCCAATTTGAGCTTATTTTTAAGCACTTATTCTCAGGAATAAGCAATTATTTGGGCTTATTTCCCAAACGCAAATAAGCGATTATCAGTGTGGTTCCAGCACAAAATAAGTGCTTATTTGAATAAGTGCTTTTTAAGCACTCCCAAACTTAGCCTTAGAAGATATGGGAAAGCATATCTCAAAGAAAGAGCAGAATCCAGGAGAAGCTGATTCAGATAAGAAGATTCAACGGACCTCTAAACCAGTGCCTGAAGATCAAAGTCATGCCACAATCTTAGAAATAAAAGAGACCAAGGATCATGATACTGCATCTATTGAAGATCAAATAGTTACCCATAGCTCTAAAGGAAATGAAAAAGAAAGCATGAATCATGAAGAGAAAGGACCCACATTAAAGACAGAAGAACACACAGATGAAACAAGGAATGCAACTGAGGCCATCAAGAACATTCTTTCAAATGAAGAAAAAGAGGCGACTCAAGGATAAGACAGAGCTTATGAAAGTTGGAATATTGAGAAACATTTTATGGACAAAGACACGTGTAAGGCCGCTAAACCTGCTACTCACATGGAGTCAAGCTCTTTTAACCCAGTGAGAATGATGAGCCCAAAAACAGAGAAAAGAAGAATAAAAAAGAAAAAAAGAAGATGAAAAAAAGAGAGAAATGTAAATATATTGTGAATTTGTTTGTTTTTTGTAATAGGATCCTAAATAGTTGTTTTTGGTAGCTTTGTAGTCAATTTGAGTCCAAAGGTGTTTTTGTCATTTTATAATTTAGATTCTGGTCAAGGGCAGGTGCACTTCTGTTGGTTGGTCCCTTGGGTGTTTTTGTAACTAATGTTGTCTTTTGGGGGATTGTCTGAAGTTGCTTTTTGTTCTTATGAAGCTGTTTGTGAAGAGGGATATTTTAGGGGTTTATGTTTAAATATTTTAGTTGGTTTTGTCAGCAAACCATTGGGTCTTATAAAACAGACTACTTGTCCACACAACCCAACTTGACACCATTATTACTATAACAGAACAGTTCCAAGAAGAGTTCTACATCAGGTTCAATTCTAAAATCTATGAAAATCTAGTTTGCATAGTGGTTTTCAACTCTATTACTTTGCCTATTGTTGTTCACTTGAAGTATTTCATATATCTTGCTTTTCTGCCCACATCAAAGCTTCTATTTTTTCTTTTTAGAATTCTGTAGTTAAGAAAAAAAAAAAAAAAAGAAGAAGAAAAACTCTCCTCTGACTATTTTAAAAACCTTTGTCTTCACTTATGCATAATTTTCTGTAGTATTAAATATGACCTTATATTCTAGAATTATAGTCTCTTACACCCATGCAAAAGAATAAACAATTAAAATAACATGTAAATCCTAGTTTTCAGATCTAACAACCGTGTACAAAAAGTAGGAAGAAACAATTACTCATGTCCTGATTTTTCAAGGACATTTAGCCCATCCAATATTGTTGATTCTCTTTCAAAATTTTTGCCTTTTAAGTAACTAGTACAAGAAATATCATCTTACGTATCAGAATAATAATTGATTCTGCTTATCAAATAACCCATTCTCCTCATAAGTGTGTCATAATTTTTCCTCAAGGTATATAGCACATAAAAAATGCTATTGCTTCTAAGATTTTCACATTGCTTACATCTTCAGACATTGAAACAACACCTTTTTGTTTCACTTTTTATAGTGGATAACTAAATTTCGTCTATAATTTTTTTGGGAGAAAACTTTGCCTGTAGATTTCTAAAACAATAAGAAAACATTAAATGAAGAACACTCAACTAGCTAAAAGAAATTTTCAAATGAAATAATACTCGGCACCTCAAAAATGGTAGACATAAACAACAATTATTCCTTCTTTTGTTTACCTTCCTTCATGCTATTCCTATAGCAGTTATAGTTATATGGTAACTTAAAAATGCCTTTCATTTTTCTATCATTTCCTGAAATACAATGAACATTTCCAAGCAATTAATTGTGTTAAAACTTAGAACATTTTTAGTATTTGCATATAAATATTCTACAAAATATTTCCCATTTCCAACTAACCATGCCAAGATTCTGAACTTGTTCTCAATGTGACCCCTTGAAATGGGGAATTGCAACATCCCCTAATAACTAAACAGTAAATGTTAGAAAAAACAAAGGTCAATATTTCCACATTAGCGCATGTATAAAAAATAGAAATATGTCAAAATTCCTATTGTAAGATAATATTAAATTCATCAAAACATAGGAGATATTGCAAAGTCTTTGAAATTTTATTTGGTAGTAAAGAAAAAAAAAATATTAAGAAAAACAGATTACAAGAAAGGTGAGAAGATATCACACACAAATGAAGAAAAATCAGTCCCCGAAACCAACCACCCTCCTAAAATCCTTTGGACATAAACTCTTTCTCCAACCAAGTCTTCAACAATCAGAAATCCTACTTCCAAGATCCCAAACCCGCACAAGAAACCCAATTCACACCCCAGACCCAAATATGCCCCATCCAACAAGCACCTTAAATGAAACCTTTCTGTCAAATTTATTAACAACCAATCCATTCTTCTCTTCCAACTCCAAAAAATATGTTCTTGCAAATTCTTCCCCTCCTAGGAAAAAGAGCCCCAACATTTTGCTTACTTGAGCTTCCATTTCTACAATCTTTTCCAAATCAAGATTGTCACCTCTTCATTTTCCTCTTGCCCCTTAGAATTATTTTCCTCATCATCATGCCCTCCCCCCCCCCAACATCTCTTCCTCCCTCATTTTGAGCCATCCTTTTTGTTGAAATAATTTAGTTATTTGTGTTAGGGTCTGTTTGGCTAGTTAAAGCGTTTTTTTATTTTCTGTTCTTTCTGCTATTGTACTAACTTACAGCAGGGGCACAAGGGTTTTTTCTCTTCTTATTTCTGCTGCCCTATATAATATAATAGAAGTTGGCGCCGCCAGTACTGTTCTATTGCTCCAAACCTTTTCTTCTTCCTTTCTTTCTTTTTCTTTTCTCTCTTCTTCCCTTCTCTTCTCTACTTCCTCATATTTCAATCGGATTTATTGCCAAGATGGTATCAGAGCAAGGCTGTTGAATCTGGGCAACCAAGTTTTTTCCCTTCACGTTGCTGAATCTGGGCGGAACAGAGGACTGAATCTGGGCTGATCAAATCAGATCTGCAACTGGTACAACCCTAAAGTTTTCTTTCTTCTTTTGTTTCTTTCCTTGGTTGTGTACCAAGTGAAGAACAAATGAATCCAAACCACTGAATGTCGGCAGACTTTTGTGAAGGTTATATTTTTTTTATTTGTTGGATCGTGTGATCCTGTACCTATGAAAAGGTGACTGTAGGTCATAGATGACCTGTTTTCTCTGCCAGTTAGTCTGATTTCATGTGTGTTAGGATCTCTCTTATTGATTAATGTTGTGGTGGAACTTACACGTTATTGATTAATGCTGTGGTGAAAATCAGTCTCGTCATAGTTCTTGTTTGGAAATTGGTGCTGTTTTTTGTGCTCAGATTAAGTCCATAACTGAATGGTTGTGTGCGGAGCTTTTGTCAATATAAGGAGGGATCCTAAGTTGAGAGTTTAGATCAAAAAACCTTGGGCTTACCATGTCGTCTGAGAATTCTGCTACTTCAAAGATTTCAGGGAGCCACAATGGAGTGAGTGGGGGAATGGATATGAATTTCCCCATGGCTGTTATTCCCTTTGATGGTCTGAACTACCTTGAGTARTCTAGGGGAATAAAACTCTACATCACTACTAGGGGGAAAATAGGATACATCAATGGGAGAGTGAAGGAACCGAAGAACGGAAGTGCTGAATATGAAAGGTGGAACCAAGAGAATAGTATGGTGACGTCATGGCTCTTGGTTTCCATGCTGCCACAGGTAAGGATGTGGGCTGAAACTACTTGTGAGATATGGGAACAAGCAAAGTCCACCTATTCAGAGCAGAGACACTATGCCAAGATATATCAACTACAAGTTGAATCCTTTACTTGCAAGCAGGGGAGAGGAGTCTCTCGATGTACTATTCTGATTTGACATCAATATGGAAAAACTTGATCACTACCAAAATGTGAATTGGAAGTGTGATGAAGATGCAAAGGCGTATAAGTCACTTGTATCTCAGCAACGGGTCTTTGCCTTCCTCCTAGGGCTGAATCCTTCATATGAGTCCATCAAGGTGCAGATCTTGGGTAGTAAAGACTTGCCATCAGTTTAGGAGGTGTATGCCTTAATGCAGTCAGAAGAGAGTAGAATAAGTGTGATGAATTGTGTAGAGGGGGAGTCAGTTGCCCAAACTGTCCGGGGAAATTCATATACAAATGTCGGAGGTGCTTTTAAGAAAGGTGACTCTCAGAAGAGAATAGATGATAAGAGTAAACTTTGGTGCACTCACTGCCAGAAGACAAGACACGCGAGAGATACATGTTTACCTAAATGGGCACAGGATTTGAGTAACAGTCAACACCTGATCAGGGCAAGAAACCAAGTCAGCAGAATCAGAAAAAAGTATAACTCAGCTAATATGGCATCGCCAGAGACTAGTCCATTGGTAACTCGGGAGAGGCATCCCAGTTCTGACCCTAAGGAAGAAATTATCAACTCCTTTCGTGACCATTTGGAATTGTATGGTAGGACTCTCCGCCAGATGGATTCTGGTCCTACTCCCTCTACCTCTTTCACATCTACATCAGGTAATGCTGCCACTACCTTCCATGTGTCATCTCATACCATTGATTCTCTTTGGATTATTGACTCTGGAGCCTCAAACCACATGACCGGTAAGTCAAATTTATTTCAGACATATAACCTCCTCTCTGGGAGAGATAAGGTGAAACTAGCTAATGGTTCTTTCTCTACCATAGCTGGCCAAGGTACCATACCTCTCCCACTCTGCCTTACCCTTTCTAATGTACTGCATGTTCCGAAATTACCCATAAATTTGATATCCATTAGTAGTATAACTCACTCTTTGAATTGTTCAGTCACTTTTTTTCCGTCTTCATGTGTGTTTCAGGATTTGGCCTCGGGGAAGACGATTGGTAGAGGAAGCATGGTGGATGGTCTCTACGTGTTGGAGAATAAAGCTGGTCTTGTGGCTACAGAGTCC